CAGGAGGAGGAGGAGAAAGAGGGGAAGGAGGTGGCGGAGGAGGAGGAGGAGGAGGAGGATGACGAGGAGGTGGCGGAGGAGGAGGACGAGGAGGTGGTGGTGGAGGAGGAGGAGGAGGAGGAGGAGGAGGAGGAGGAGGGGGAGGAGGAGGAGGATCTCTAGGCTGCATTTCTCTCTTCTTACATTTTCCCTAATGAACCCCCCCCTCCACCTCGGGCCCTCAGCCGAGGTGGAGGGGCAGGACAGGTGGCTGCACGTGCACTACGAACCACAGCAATTAGCACAGCACAGCAGGAGAGTCTAAGGCAGCGTGTGAAGGCGGGCCGGTGCGACCAGACTATGACCGATGTGGCGGGGCCTTCTCAGTAGTTGTCGTCATTGTCGTTGCTGCTGTAGCTGTAGCGCTCAGAAGGCACGAGCTTGCCGAAGGGCCCAAGGGGCAAGGAGTCGTAGACGTTGGAGCGCTCATATGGTCCGAGCTTGCCTCGCCGCTGCTGTCCTCGTAGCGGCCATCATCAGATGTACATCCCCATCCACATGCTTCCCATCTGTCATCGGAAAATGAGCCAGAGTTCTCGACCAGCCGCAGCCCGAACACAAAGGTACCCGATGTGCGCGCAGATTATGTACTCGAAAATGCTTGGAGCCAATGAGAGGGCCAAAGTCTATGCAGAGCCTGTTACCGGAGCGCCCCAAGACCTTGCCGAACCTGTCATTCATGGCAGTAGTCATGAGCGAGTCCGAGTGGCCTTGCACAGCAATGTTCTCCGGCGTCCTCAGCGTGACCAGCATCTCGCCGGCGTCCTCCTCGGTGAAATCGCGGCCCTAGGATGCGAGGTCGTCGAGGACATGGCCGCCACAGCGCTGCAGGATGACCTCGCTCCGCGGATTGATGACCTCCCCAGCGTCGGCGCGGCCCAAGTCGTCCTCCCCAGACCCCCGACGTCATGATTTTTTCATGACGTCGACCCCCAGAGGTCCCGACTCTTTCCCCATGACCGGCTTTGCATCATGAGTCGTTTTTTGACGCTCCCGAGGCCCGGTGAGGGCCCCCGGGGGCCGAAAATGAAGGAAAACCTTCCGTAATGATTTTTTCATTACTCGAGGGGGTCTGGGTCGATGCCGCGATCGGCGCGGCTCTGCACGAAGTCGGCGCTCCTAGCGTTAGCAACCTGCGCGGCGTCCGTGCAGCTCGGCTGCGTGTGCTCGCGGCCCTGAATTGCCGCCGCAAAAGCTCTGGGCGCGCGCGATTGGGATCTCGACGAGGGGGAGGAGGAGGAGGAGGAGGAGGAGGAGGAGGAGGAGGAGGAGGAGGAGGAGGAGGAGGAGGAGGAGGAGGAGGAGGTCCCCGTACATATTTGCCGTTTTCTCGGAGTGTGGCCTGCACTTGCTCCTGCAAAAATGCTCGAGGAGCGCGTCGTGCATGGACTGGGCGACGTCGGAGGTGTCCTTGCTTTGGGTCCGCCCTCGCTTGGAGAAGCTTCTCGTCCAAAAGCTTGACATTCGCAGCCAGCTGTTCTGGAACTCGTCTCGCCACGTTTTGCTCGACCTCGTTTCTCATGGGCCTGGCCAGGGAGGTAATCTTGGCCTCACACTGCTTGGTCCTCAACTGGATGTCTTCCCCTGGACCGAGGCGTCCCTGAGGGGGGGGGGGGGGGGGAGAGGGGGGGGGGGGGGGGGGGCGACCCGGAAGGCTAATATCTCCTCTCGCCACCCCCCCGCGGCCACCCTCGGCGGGCAGCACGCCGCCAGCGGGTACACCTTGCCCTGGAGCCTGTTCCTGTGGGTCTACATGCACGTGCGAACGTCGTGCGTGTTCCAATTCTCGGAGAAGCTCGGCAATGGTGGAGTTCTGCGAACAACTTGAAGCGCGCATCTGAGTAAACGACTGGATATATCCACACGAAACAAACTAATAAACCGAGGGGATCAGCCCAGCCTGCGCTTCACAAGGAGGAAGCAACTCGGCTAGAAGTAGTCGTCGAAGTTGTCGCCGCTGCTGCCGCCGTCGGCAACAACAAGTCGTTGACAGAACTGTGACCTGCGAATGCTTGGCGAGATTGGCCGCATTGTTCAGCGCCCTGAGCAGCGAGATCACAACCGAAGGGAGCACGGTACGGGCAACAACGATCGGTGCTAGGGAACCCGCTGTTCAGGCTGAGAGCGATGATCGCGAGTGCGGAGATTTGGAATAATACGAGCAGGCAGCGCCAACACGTGGAACTGATGCATCCAGGCAGACGCAGAAACATGGCATAGCAGGTCGAAGTGTGGATCGAATTGCGTAACGGCGCTTCAGCAAGCCTCGGCTTGAGCCAAGCAGGCCAAGGAAGAGGAGGAGCCTGGGGGGGAGTTAGGCTGCTGAAGGGGATGAGTGATGGGGGATGAGGATGGGGATAAGGTGAGGAGGAGGAGGTTTAGAGGAAGAGCGGGTGAGAGGGGTAGTGGGGATGCCCATGGAGGAGTGGAGGAGGGGGGGGGGGGGGGGGGAGGGGGGAGGGAGGAGGAGGAGTAGGAGGAGGAGGAGGGGGACGAGGAGGAGGAGGAGGAGAAGGAGGAGAAGGAGGAGGAGGAAGAGGAGGAGGAGGAGGAGGAGGGGGAGGAGGAGAAGGAGGAGGAGGAGGAGAAGGAGGGGGACGAGGAAGAAGAGGAGGAGGAGGACGACGAGGAGGAGAGGATGAGATCTGACAAAACGAGGAGGACACTTCAAACAAAAAGAGGAGGAGGGCCTTCGAGCGGGCGCCGTCGGGGTCGCCGAGGCCGAGCGCCCCGACGGGCACGGGCCCTCGCGCAGGGAGGGCGCCGAATCGCTCCTGCTCCTCCTCGGTCTCCTCGGTGTCCTCGATCTCCTCCTCCTCCCTCCACCTCCTCCCTCGAGCTCGTCCTTCCTCCTCCTTCCTCCTCCAACTCCTCCTTCCTCCGCCCGTCTCTTCCTCCTTCCTCTCCTCCATGCTCCCCCCTGTTCCTTATTTCTCCTCTTTTTTTATGTCTTTCTCATCCTCCTCCAACTTCCCCCTCCTCCTCCCATCGACATGTTCCTTCTCCTCCTCCTTCTTCTCCTCCTCCTCCTCCGATACTCTTCATCGGCCTACATCCTGTCCCCCTTGAAAACACGCCGTTTTCAGAATGTGACCCTCGCCTTGGTGCCGCGCACATTCGTCTCACAACTTTGGAAATGCTTCGCGGATTGATGATAAGGGGCTCTGGCCATGACGCCGCGCACGTTCGCTCAAACACGTGCGAGAGCTTAACGGATTGATGGCGGCTCGCTTTCAAGATGTTGCTTTCGCCTTGGCGGCGCGCGCACTAAACAACACATTGCAAGACCTTTACGGATTGAGGGCGGTTCCTTTCAGATGTGGGTTTCGCCTTAGCGCCGTGCGCAAACTTCCCCAACAATCCGCACACATTGCACACGGATCCTCATGGTGAGCCTTCCAGAAGATGTGCTTCGGAGCGATTGGGAGTTATCATGGCGGAATAGTTGCGTTGAGTCGCGGCGTTGGAATCCCAGGAATGGTGTTCTGGCAAGCTCGTCAAGGCGCATCAGTCACGCTGACTCGTGACGTTGAAATCCTGAGATGTCCACACAGTCGTCCCCCCAACGTGGCATTTCCCCCCAGTGGGAATGGACCACAGTAGGAGCCTGTGAAGAGGGAGTTTGGGAGGAGGGTGTCATATCAGCTTGTGATTAACAAATCCGTGGGGAGGCGCGTGATAAAATGAGAATATTTCCCTGCTCGGGCAAACCGCGGGGTGGCACTCGCCAGATTGAAGACCAACGGCGGCGGTGCAGGCGATTAGCGCCGACGCCCGGCCGCCAGCGAAAAGGTGACAGGCAGCACAGGCTGGGGAAGGGGGGGGCGCGAAACAGGGGCGAGTCAATGCGGTCCTCTTTTCTGTCGAACCAATGCGCCAAGGTGGCGCCCACTGTCCCGCGGGCCTGCGGGCAAGGCGGGCTGGACGAAAAGGGGCGTGGCAAAGTGGGGTTTGGCCAGACAACTCACGTCGCTCAGTTTGCAAGCGTCTCCTGGCTCCGAAGGCGGCCAAGAGGCGCCTCCACCCCTTTTTTCCCTTTCCCCTCCCTCCTCCCCTCCTCCTCCTCCTCCTCCTCCTCCTCCTCCTCCTCCTCCTCCTCCTCCTCCTCCTCCTCCTCTTCTCCTCCTCCTCCTCCCTCCTCCTCTCTTCCTTCTCCTCCTCCTCCTCCTCCTCCTCCTCCTCCTCCTCCTCCACAGTAAGGACGCAGGATAAGGACGCGAGGGATTGGAAGGCCATCTCGACACTCTGCGAGCGGGGGCGCGGCCAGCGAAAGCGGCCAACCCAAACCCCCTCGCGATGCGAACAAAATCACGACGCGACGGGAAGTTTCTTTTATGATTTTCGGCCTCCTGGGGCCCTCACTGGGCCTCGGGACTTTAAAAAACGACTCAGGGTGAGAAACCAGTCCCGGGGGATGGATCGAGAACTCCGGGGGTCGACGCAATGAACCAAATCATGGCGTCGGGGGTCTGGGAAAGCGGCCAAGGATGGGCCAAAGGGGAAGGAGGCAAGGGTAGACTTGGGACGGCGCTCATCCTCACAATGCGGGTTGACTAACGAGGCCTCCCAGATGAGATTCGGCGTAAGCAGATGGGGTTGAAGGACCTCGCCGCCGGGATCTGCCGCATCGATGCATCGGCGACAGCGGCGATGCAGCGGCGACGCAGCGGCGACGTCCGCGAAGAGAAGATCGGTCTCCACATCTGGGGAAACCAAAAGGTGTCGATACTGCTGCCCCCCGGACCTCTCCTGGGGTGCGTTCTTACCAGGATTTCGAGGCGAATCCAGCCATGGCGACGAGGGCCTCACAGGATGCCCCAAAAAGCAACAAAAACAAGGCGAGGGTAGCAGTATGGGCCCCTGTTCCTCTTCCTACACATCGAGCCGCATCTCCGATGCATCGGCGATGCGGCGGGATCCTCCCAGCCCATACTCGGACCCCATCTGGAAGACCTAGCTAACGTGGAGCGGGAGCGCCACGGAGGCCCGCGACGGCCCGGCAGGTTACAAGCGCGTTCCACTGGCCATCGCTCGGACGTCCATTTCCTGTTTTTTTTTAGGTTTCGTGCGTGGTTTTTTCGCCAAATGATCGAGGATGCTCCTCGATGGTCCTCGCCGAGAAAAAATGCACACGTCCGAGCGATGCCAGGTCCACTACTCGCAAAAGGCCCGGATCCGCCGCGGGAGATCTACGATCCACTGCATCGAGGAAAAGACAGGCGCTTTTTGCTTCTTGACGTTTGCGAGCAGGCACTCTGCGAGCAGTGGAGCGCCCTCGGTGATCTTGGCCGTCCCCGACACGAGCGCGGGAACTGAAGGGGCCCTGGGGCACACAAATAGATACACACACAGATAAAAGGATTCCCCAAATTTTCCCATATCTTCGGAGTTTTCGTCTTCCCCCCACTTCCCACATTTTCCCACATCTTCCTGGGAGTCGACGATGAATTGTGCCTGTGTGCTTTTTCCCTCCTGATGAATGAAGGCTGCCGTCACTGGGAACACCCGGCGCCCCTGCCCCGGCGAGGCGGGCGCGCCAATACCGGCCCTCGGGGCCGTCAACAGAGCGACTCGGGATGAGAAACCGGCCCCCAGGAAGGGGTCGAGACCTCTGAGGGTCGACGTTATGCAAAAAATCCGGACGACGGGGGTCTGGGTCCCTCGCAAGAGAGGTGGGCGCGCCATGCAGGAGGGCCCCCCCACGAAGGCTGCTGGGCACGGAGTCGCGCGGCGCTGCACTGGCGTGCTGCCAGAGGAAGCGAGGGCAAGCCAAACTTGCGAGGCGAGGAGCTATCAGCCATCGCCGCCCGCGGGGGATACGGCGGGCGCACGGTGGCCAACTCCAAGCGCGCAAGCAGCCATCATCGCATCGCGCTCGGCGATCGGGGGGGGGCCCTGGTGAGCCCGCACCAGAAGGCTAATTCTCCAGACCCTCGACGTCATGATCTTTTCACAACGCCGACCCCCAAAGTTCTCGACCCGTTCCCCTGGACCGGTGTCTCATCCTGAGTCGTTTCTTGACGGCCCCGAGGCCCGGCAAGGGCCCCAGGAGGCCGAAAACAAAACAAAACATGCCGTCGTGACTTCTCCAGGACCCGAGGGGGTGGTCTGGGGCAGAAGGCCATTCCCGCGAGGGGTGACGCGTCGATCCCACGACCTCGGCGTCGCGGGTCGGGCGAAAGGGGGGGATAGCAAAGGGGGGGGGGGAGAATCAGCTCACGTAGCTGATCTTCCCGGCCCCCCCCGGGCGCTGGAGGCGGCCATGTCTCGAGGAACGGGCCCCTCGGTGGGGCAGAAACCAGCTGCATGCAGCAAATTTCGTAACCCCCCTTTCCCAATCCCCCCCCAGAGATCCGACGTCGTGATTTTTTCAATGCGCGGCCCCCGGAAGTCTCGACCCATTCCCCAGGACCGGTTCTTCATTCTGAGTCGTTTTCTGACGGTCCCGAGGCCCGTCGAGGGCCCCTAGGGGCCGAAATTTGAGAAAAACCTCCGTCTTGTTTTTTTCACTGCGTTGGATCTCTGGGAATCCCCCCCTTTCGCCCGGCCCGAGCGTCGGCCGGCGGCGGCGGCCCCGCCGTCCTCGCCCGGAGAACATGTCCTTGGCCGCGGCTGGGGCCCTGGCGGCTCCGCGAGGGGGGGCCGGCGCGGCGCCGCGCAGGGCGCAGCGAGCGAGGGGGCGCACCGCCCGGGGGGGGGGGGAGGAGAGGAGGAGGGGGGGAGGAGGAGGGAGGAGGAGGGGAGGAGGAGGAGGGAGGAGGAGGAGGAGGAGGAGGAGGAGGAGGAGGGAGGAGGAGGAGGAGGAGGAGGAGGAGGAGGAGGAGGAGGAGGGGGAGGAGGAGGAGGAGGGGGAGGAGGAGGAGGAGGAGGAGGAGGAGGAGGAGAGGAGGGGGGAGGAGGAGGAGGAGGGGAGGAGGAGGAGGAGGAGGTGGAGGAGGAGGAGGAGGAGGAGGAGGAGGAGAGAGAGGAGGAGGAGGAGGAGGCGCCGCGCCGGCGCAGCGAGCGGGGGGGCGCAGCGCCCCGGGGGGGGGCAGGAGGACGAAGCCAGGACGACCAAAAAACCCAGACCCCCTCGAGTAATGAAAAAAACACGACGAAAGGTTTTTCCTAATTTTCGGCCTCGGGGGGCCCTCACCGGGCCTCGGGAGCGTCAAAAAACGACTCAGGATGCAAAGCCGGTCCTGGGGAAAGGGTCGGGACCTCTGGGGGTCGACGTAATGAACAAATCATTACGTCGGGGGTCTGGGGAGGGGGACAGGAGGACGAAGCCAGGAGTTCGGGCGGCACTAAGGACGAGCAAAGAAGTCCACCGCCGTGCTCATGTTGTTACGGCGCGAAGAGCGGCGGAGCTCAGGACGACGAGCAACAATCTCCCGCCGCGTCTTTTTTGTCATCCACGACGCGAAGGGAGGCCTGGGCATCCCCATCCTCCTCAACGTCGACGACGTCGTCGCCAAGATCTCAGGGTTGGGCCAGGGGCACGTAGTCGTTTGCCAGAAAAAGACGCCCAGCGGAGCCCTGCGGCAGCGAGGCAGGAAGGAGCGGGGGGGAGGGAACGGGGAGGGACGGGGGGGGGGGGCAGGGACACCTGGAACACCCGAGAGGTCGAGAGGTCGGAGGGCCTGAGGGCGTCCCCCTCCCCCTGCGCCTCCGGCAAGGGCCTCCTCGGCCCTGGGCGGCATGGGGCACTGCCGTGGCGGGGCGGCCGAGGCGGCTGCTGTGCCGCGGCGCCACGACAGCGTTTCGCTGTGATGCCTCGCGATGCCGGCCGTGACCGGCCCCGCCCCCCCCCCCCCCCCGCAGGTAACGCCACGAGGCAGGCTGGCCTCCGAGCTGCCTGTAGATGTGCGTGAGCGTTCCCAGACGGCGCCGCGAAAGGTGACGTTACCGCCCCCCCCCCCGGTATCGCCCGCTCTCGCCCTGGAATGATACACGGCTCTCCAGTGATCCTGCTGCGATTGGCGCTCGGGATACGCTCCAGAAGGCTGCAAGAGACAGCCGTCGGCCGTCGCTTCTGCAGCCCGTGTGGAACAGAAGGTGCTCTCGAAATCCGGGAGATCTGGGAGAACTCTTGGAACGTATCATCTTCATGACCTCCCCAGACCCGCGCCGTCAGGATTTCCGTCATAACGTCGGCCCCGAGAGGTCTCGACCCCTTCCTGGGGGCCAGAGTCTCATCCCGAGGCGTTCTGCTGACGGCCCCGAGGGTCCGTGCGCAGGGGCCCCCAAAGGCCGAAAAGAGCAAGAAACCTCCCTCCGCGATGTTGTCGTGACCCGAGGGTGTCTGGGCCCCGCTCGTCTGGCACGCTTTCGGGGGCAACTCCTAGGAGCCACCCGTGCCATCTCGCCGGCTCTTGCGAACCGACGCCAGTCGACGCTCATCGACGCTAAATCGACGCTGGATCGACGCGAATCAAGCGCTAAATCGGCGCCATCTCCTCGACTCCCAGACGCTAGTCGACGCTAGTCGACGCTAAGGCCGGCACTAGGAGGGCACACCCGAGCTCCCATGATTTGCTACCGAAGAGTTTCGCTGCGAGCCCAGACCCCCGACGCAATGATTTCTGCATCACGTCGCCCCCCAGCGGTCCCGACCCTTCCCCCATGACCAGCTTGGCATCCTGAGTCGTTGCTGCACGCTCTCGAGGCCTGGTGAGGGCCCCTGGACGCCGAAAATTAAGAAAAACCTTCCGTTATTTGTTTCTTTTGCTGCTGCGCTCATCCTCACTGCGGAGCGAGGGTAGCTCAGCCGCAAACATTTCGGCGGACCCACCCGAGAAAAACCTTCCGCTCTGATTTTTGCATTGCTCGATGGGGAACTGGGAGCACAGCGGCACGAGCACCCGACCCGCGGAGGCCCGCGAGAGGGGCCCCCCCGCCGGCCCAAGAAGCGCAGCAGGAGCGCTCTCTCTCTCTCTCTCTCGGCGTCTCGGCATTGGGCGGAGGGGGGGGGGTCTGTAGGGGGCCACATGCGAACCCTACCTCTACCCCCCACGGTTTCTGAGCGGGAGGGTGGGGTTCACTTCGCTCGGGAGCTCCCGAGCGAAGTGAACCCCACTCGCCCCTTCAGAAATCGTGGGGGGTAGGGGTAGGATTCGCATGTGGCCCCCGGGTCTGGCTCCGGGCCTCTGCGCAGTGCGACTGTGTTGCAGCCGTGCGTCCCATAGGGGGGGAGACTCCACCTGCTCGAGACACGCGCCAGGCACAACCAAGATCTGCTCCATGGGGGGGGGGAGGGGTGGTGCGAGTGCCCGCGCCGATCGGCAAAGCATTGAATACAAGACCTTCCACAAGAAACCAAATTCTGAGACACCAGGACGTCTATTGATTTTTGGTGTGGGAGCGTCACGATTCCCACAGCAAAGCCATCGGAACCCAAGAAACCCAGGGCACCCTGGAGGCAAGCAGGGTGTTTCTTGGCATGGGCTTCCACTGTAGATGCGGACCTCCGAAAATTTGTACCACGTTCGTTGGACAAGAGCACCCGAAGCAGACGAACAGCGAAGCCACTGCAGCTCCTCCTCCATGCTGTGCTCCAGCTGCAGTTCGCAGCCAGCGGTGCAGCTTCCACTGCAGTTCTTGCTAGCACTCCTGTTCAATTAGTACAGCCCTCTAGCAGTTCTTCATGCAGCCCCGAATTCGTCAGCTCCTCGCTGAGGCCGTACTTCAGCTCCAATGATTATCCCCCACAATCCTTACTGTGTTTGTTTGGCAGCTCCTCTTACACATGCTACTTCAACTCATACCACAGTTCCAGCTGCAGCGGGCAAGACAGCTCACTCTGCGCTGGTTCTACGACTCCTCAGACTCCTGCGTCAAACTATATTGCACTCTTCCCAGGTTACCCCTGAACTAGGACGGCCCTCACTACTTCTTTCCTAGCACCCTACCTCCCTGCGGCAATTCCTCAGCAGCGCAGTTGTTACCACGGTTCCAACTAGACCAGGAGAAAAGCTTTCACTGCAACTGTCTGTGCTTACAGCCTACTCTCAACTTGTACTACTACAGCCAGTAGTAGAGCTCCCATTCCACTCCCATGTGTATTACAGCTCCCCTACGACTGCTCCTAGTGCAGCTCCTCCGTCAGCTCCCACTCGAGCTCGCAGTGTAGCTCCTACTGCAGCCCCTGCCCCAATTGTGACCACAATTCCTTCCACTTCTGGAACTATGTTGCTCCCATCGTACGTAAGGACCACGTTCTAGAAATAAGTTCGAGCACCCGGGAAAGTGCCGAAAGAGTGTCGAAAGAGTGTCGAGACAGTGTCTCCCAGGGCCCGGCACGTGAAAACCCTAGAGTTTCGGTACTTTTTTCTGGTGCTCGAAATTCTTTCTGGTGTCAAAGCAAAAGTAGGTTGGAACAGCATAATGCTAGAAGCAACAATCTTACGACAGCTCCAACTGACAGTTTCTGGAGGTCCTAGAACCAGTTGCAGGATCGCCCCTGCCGCAGCCAAGCGTGCCAGCGCTGCTTCAAGAACATCCGGGCGGACGTCGGACAATCTATGTTTAGATAACTTGCGTTCTCCCTCGAACCTGAGATTCCCGAGAGATCCCCGGGGAGACCAACAGGCACCCATTCTGCTACTCTCCGGACGAGGGCCTCCCAGGAAGCCCCAAAATGGCGAAAACGAGGGAATGGCACAGCGGTGTCAGTACGCTTCCTCCTCTGAGAACCTTGGCGCTCGCCATCGCTCGGGCGTGCGTTTCCAGTGCACTTTTCGGCTTTGGGCACGCATCTTCTCGCAAGATGACCCAGAAGGCTCCTCGATGGCCCTCGCGAACAATCGGCCATGGCTAGGACGAGGCTAAATCCGTTCCAGAGCGTTCTGGACCGCCCTCAGCGCGTTCCCGACCGCTCTGAGAAGGCCGCGGCGCCCGAGACATCCTCCAGAGCCGCAGGATCTCAGAGATTCGCGATGTATCCTCACCCGATTTTGTCCTCGTCATTAGAGGCCTCCTTGATGGGAACCGAGTAGATGGGGTCGAAGGATCTCGCCGCATCGCCGACACATCGGCGATGCATCGCCGATGCATCGGCGATGCATTGGCCATGCGCTGGCGACGTCGGCGATGCATCGGCGACGTCGGCGTGGAGAAAATCGGGCCCCGCATCGTGCCGCATCGCCGATGCATCGCCGATGCATCGGCGATGCGGCACGATCCTCCGACCCCACCTGCTCCGACCCCATCTAAGGAGGCCTAGAGTCATGGCTTCATTTCAAATAATCGGCGGTGGACAAACCTCCCTTTAGTAAATCTCCCCTTAGTGAAAACGGCCTGGGACCGAAACCGACGGACCTGGACCCGCAAACACGACGGCCGCGACGCCCTCTCGCGAACCGAAAACGGCCAATTCCTTCATCGACGTGTCAGGGTAGGAGGTCTGTCCACCCCCGAAATACGCACACGTCCGGGCGATGCCAAGTGATGTCCCCAGGAAGTCCCAGGGACCCAGACCCCCGGCGTAATGAATTTTTCATTACGTCGACCCCCAGAGGTCCTGACACTTTCCCCGTGACCGGCTTTGCATCCTGAGTCGTTTTTTGACGCTCCCGAGGCCCAGTGAGGGTCCCCCGAGGCCGAAAATTAGGAAAAACCTCCCGTCGTGATTTTTTCATTACTCGAGGGAGTCTGGGGACACCCCTGGGCGGGCCCACCTCTGGCCGCAGCGCCGCCCGCCGGCGCCGCGCTCGGGGGGGCGACCCGCCTGCTCATCGGCACGTCGCCGTTAAACACCAGCGACAGGTCCTCCGCGACCGGCAGGTGGCTGAGGAGCAGGCCTCGCACCCAGACGGCGAGGAGACGCGATCCCAGAGATCCGACGCTCCAGCAAACACTGGAGCGGCGGGATCCAGCAAGACGAGGCCAGGACGAAGATAAAATCGGGTTCCGCGGTTCTGGAGGATGTCTCGGGCGCCGCGACCTTCTCAGAGCGCTTCGGAACGCTCTGAGAGCGGTCGGGAATGCTCTGGAACGGATTGATCCTCATCCTGGCCCCGTCCAGTTTCAGCCGTTTTCGGAGTCTGGGGGCCCTCGCCAGGCCTCGGCAGCGTACAAAAGCGGCTCAGGACGAAATACTGGCCCTAGAGCCTGGTGTTTTGTAGACCCCGGCAAGTCTACTTGCATGGACGGGGCCGGGGCCCGAACCTGAAGCAAGCCGCAAACGACTAGCACGTGCAGAAATCACGCAAGTCGAAAGGCACTTGTACGCTAGTAGTCGTTTGAAGGGTCGGGGTGCGGGGGGGACGAACGCCATGCAAGTAAGTTGTATATGTGCTGTGTTGTGCTGTGTTGTGCTGTGCTGTGCTGTGCTGTGCTGTGCTGTGCTGTGCTGTGTTGTGTTGTGTTGTGTTGTGTTGTGTTGTGTTGTGTTGTGTTGTGTTGTGTTGTGTTGTGTTGTGTTGTGTTGTGTTGTGTTGTTGTGTTGTGTTGTGTTGTGTTGTGTTGTGTTGTGTTGTGTTGTGTTGTGTTGTGTTGTGTTGTGGTGTGGTGTGGTGTGGTGTGGTGTGGTGTGTGTGTGTGTGTGGTGTGTGTGTGTGTGTGGTGTGGTGTGGTGTGTGTGTGTGTGTTGTGTTGTGTTGTGTTGTGTTGTGTTGTGTTGTGTTGTGTTGTGTTGTGTGTGTGTGGTGTGTTGTGGTGTGTGTGGTGTGGTGTGGTGTGGTGTGGTGTGGTGTGGTGTGGTGTGGTGTGGTGTGGTGTGGTGTGGTGTGGTGTGGTGTGGTGTGGTGTGGTGTGTGTGGTGTGGTGTGGTGTGGTGTGGTGTGGTGTGTGTGTGTGTGTGTGTGGTGTGGTGTGGTGTGTGTGTGTGTGTGTGTGGTGTGTGTGTGGTGTGTGTGTGTGTGTGTGTGTGGTGTGTGTGTGTGTGTGTGTGTGTGTGTGTGTGTGTGTGTGTGTGTGTGTGTGTGTGTGTGTGTGTGTGTGTGTGTGTGTGGGGGGGGGGGTGCGTGCGTGCGTTGCGTGCGTGCGTGCGTGCGCGCGGGCGGGCGGGCGGGCGGGCGGGCGGGCGGGCGGGCGGGCGGGCGGGCGTGCGTGCGTGCGTGCGTGCGTGCGTGCGTGCGTGCGTGCGTGCGTGCGTGCGTGCGTGCGTGCGTGCGTGCGCGTGCGTGCGTGTGTGTGTGTGTTATTTTCGGCCTCGGTAGGCCCTCACCGGCCCTCGGGACCGTGAAAGGACGACGCAGGATGCACAACTGGTGCGGGGGAGTGGGTCGAGAGACCTCGGGGGGCCGGCGCCGTGAGCAGCTCGTGCCGTCGGGGGTCCGGGGAGGGGTCCGGGCCCGGATGGTCGCAAGGACTGCGGCGGGGCGGGAGGGCCGCCGGGCCCTCTCGGCGGCGTCCAGAGAGGAGGACGCGCACGGCCGGGTGAGGCACGACCGAACTCGAGGACAAAACTGAGCAGACGCGTAGCCAGGCGCCCAGGATCCGAAGAGGAGGTCCAGAGAGGAGGGGGGGAGAGGAGGGAGACCGAGGAGCGAAGCTGCCGTTCGAGCCGCTCGCGGGCCTGTTGAAGCCTTGGGGGACTCTGGGGACCTCCCAGGGGAGGGGGTGGGGGGAGGAGTGAGGGAGGGGGGATAAGGAAGGAGGGAAGGAGGAGGAAGGGACGAGAGGGATTGCGATGCATGGAATCACTTTGCAATATCAGCGGCATGGCTCTTCTTTCACCTCGGAGCCAGAATGCAAAGCGTGGCAATTTCAAGTCATACCAATGTCCGTGTCTGGCTCCTCATCCTAATCCATGGCTCCTCATCCTACCACGCCATCGTCACCACTTCATCCTCGCCCTCGTCCGCAACAAGAAGCTCTGCAGCACCCGACGGTCATGCCAGACATGCTATGGAATCAAAAGAGGTCCTGATCGCCAGATATACCTAGGTATACAAAAATTGCTGCTCTTTCATCAGCGGCTACGAGTTCTGCGCAGCCTCTGGGAGACGACGGTGACTCCGCGGCGATGCGCTCCTCAGCCGGATGGCGAGTGCCAGTCAGTCCTCTGCTGTATTTTCTGTCGGTGAGAAACGGAGCAAGCGGGAAGGTACGGATCTGGACTCGTGACACGTTCAGCCTAAGAAAATCGCAAGCCCATTGCAGCCAGAGCTGGCAGCGGAGGAAGGTCCCCCCGTGTCTTCGGAGACCTCCTGCCCCGGGCAGGTGTTGCATGCTCTGGGGGGTCCTGATCTACCTCAGAGGCGATCCGTTTCGTGACCGCTGGGGCCGCCGTGGTGCTGAAGACTCGAAACCGCGCCAGCCGCCAGATGCCGCCACGACGGCCTGTCGGAGGAGAAGGGAGGAGAAGAGGAGGGGGAGGAGGGTGGGGGAGGGGGAGGGGAAGGGGGAGGGGGAGGAGGAGGAGGAGGAGGAGGAGGAGGAGGAGGAGGAGGAGGAGGAGGAGAGGAGGAGGAGGAGGAGGGGGAGGAGGAGGAGGGGGAAGGGGAGGAGGAGCAGAAGGAGGAGGAGGAGGAGGAGAAAGAGGAAGTGGGGGGGGAGGAGGAGGAGGAGGAGGAGGAGAGGAGGAGAGGAGGAGGAGGAGGAGGAGGAGGAGGAGGAGAGGAGGAGGAGGAGGAGCGAGGAGGAGAAGGAGGGGGAGGAGGAGGAGCGAGGAGGAGGAGGAGGGAGGATGAGCGAGGAGGAGCGAGGAGGAGAAGGAGGAGGAGGAGGAGGAGGAGCAGCAGCAGCAGCAGCAGCACCGGGGACATGAGCAGCACATGGGGGCAGCAGCCGCGCCCAGGAGAAGAAGAGGATTAGGAGGAGAAACAGGGGAACACCAAAATACGCGGAAGGCATCTACACACCACCACCGTGCCAGGCCAGGGCCATCCTGGCCCTGGCATGGTGTAGATGACCGAGGCCAAAGAGGGTCTATACAGTCGTCGGCCTGACCCGAGGAACGATCAATAAGGAACGAAGCACCTTTTTGTTTACAAGGAGTACCGCATAAGGAACAATAACTAATACATAACGCTTAATTAAGGAGCGATGAGCAACGCATGCAATCCTAAGGAACGACCGAGCCCCTTTTGAAAAGTAAGTGCTCCTTATTCAAGCCGCTCACCGTACACCATCCTGGGGCCCAGGATGGCCCTGGCCTGGCACGGTGGTGGTGTATAGATGCCTTCGTCGGACGCAAGGTACCGATACTGCTGCTTCCCTGACCTCTCCCAGGGTGCCTTCTGACCAGAACTTTGAGGCGAATCCAGCCGTGGCGACGAGGGCCCTCCCGGCAGGCCGCGAAAGGGCGACGGCGGGGGAACGGAAGCGGGATCTGTGCTTCTCCTCCTCTGAGCATACAGGGGATCAGGGGCGGCGTCGCGCCCCGACGACGAGGATGACTTGAGCAAGGATCGGCCGTCCCAGGACACAATCTTCTTAGAATGCAAGAACGTTCTAAGAACAAACTCAATGTTCTCAGAACATAAGCCGATGTGTTTGAAGGGGCCCCAGGACACACAAATAAATACACACAAATAAAAGTATTCCCCATATTTCCCCATATTTTTCTGGGTTTCTGTCTTCCCCCCCACTTCCAATGTTTTCCCATATTTTCTGGGGAATCGAGGATTAATTGTGTCTGTGTGTTTCTGTTCCTCCTGAGTGTTGAAATAGGACAGTCCCAGCCAGACATGTTCTAAGAATATCTCGTGCAGACCACAAGAGGTTCTTAGAACATTCTTTGGTGGGCCTGTCGGCAAGCCAGGACGCTTCGCCACTCCTCGAATGACGGGCGGCCGCGGCAACGACGAAAGCTCCCCGCTCGGCGGCTCCGACCGAGGGGCCTTTTGCTCCGCCGGCGTCGAAGGCCGCGGCCATGCGGCGGAACATCGGGTCACTTTGCTCGTCGGCCTCGAAGTGCTGCTGGATGATGGTGGCCTCGTTCCTGCGGGGGGGCGGAAAGGGAACCCTGACATAGATTCATCAAGTAGCGTCTCTCGCAATCGATGCGCTAACGCAATATATATTGCGCACCTGGGTCCCGGACTCCCCGGGCTCCCCGGATTCTCTGGACTCTTCGGACTCGCCGGATTCCCCGGACTTGTCGGACTTGCCGGACCTTCCGGACTCCCCAGACTCCCCGGACGGACTCTCCGGACTCCCATGGACTCCGCGCGCGGTCTCCCCGGACTCCCCGGACTCGACCCAGAAGCGCACCGCTCTCCGGTAGCGCCGAGTTGGCGTCGATCTAGCGTCGTTTCGCGTCGATGTAGCATCGATCCGCAAGAGGGGGGGGTCCCGAATCAGGGGCAACGTCCCTGACCTTTCAGAGAGCTATGTTTTAGCACTGGAGGCCTAAAGACCTAAAAAACGAAGCGAAACGGCCTAGAACCAAGACGTAGAATAGCTCTGGGATAGGCTTTTGGGTCGGGTGCTGTTTTTTAGCCCTCCTGGAAGGTCAGGGGAATCAGGGGCAACGTTCCCTGAGATCCGGGCGCTGCAATCTCTGCACCACGGGCGCGCTCGCCCAGTGTCCGGCCCTGGAGCCATCACAGGTCGATGCGGCCCCGAACTTGCCGCAGAAGCATCGTGCCAAGGGCTCTCCCTGACCTTCCAGGAGGGCTAAAAAATTGCACCCGACCTAAAAACCTATCCCAGAGCTATTCTACGTCTTGGTTTTAGGCTGTTTCGTTTGGTTTTTTAGGTCTTTAGGTCTCCGGTGCTAAAAAATAGCTCTCTGGAAGGTCAGGGCTGGTGTTACAGAGAACCCTAAATGAGGAACGAGGCCCCCTTTTTCCACAACTTACACTTCGATTTCCCAGCGAAACCATAAGGAAAACCCGAGGCAAGCTGTGAAACACTTAAGGAACACGGAGCCCCTCCCCAACGAAAAGGGTTCCTTCTTCAGCGCCCCGACTATCATTTTTCGCGATGACGTATATGGTTTCGCAACGGCGTATCTTAGGGGAAGGAGGGGCGAAACGGGGGCACAACCGGGTCGGATTTGCAGGTCGATGGTCGACCCCGCAGGATCATCAACAGAAGAAAACATCGGTATACACATCAGAGTGACGGGGCCGAACGGTCATTCAGTGTCCCGGGGCGCGTGGCTGAAGTTGGGTTCCGCGGTGCAGATTGTCGCTACGTTGAATTCACTGTTGATCCCCCCTGCGGTGCCCACTTTGCTTTTTGAAGTATCCCTTCGGGGGATCGCCCCCTATTCTTTTGAAGGGGCAGCGTTGTGTCTCAGACTAGGTTACTGGCCCGCGAACTACAGCAACAACGGGCTCCCGCCCGATACTTCCTCACAATGTTTTCGAAATCGCGCTCTCGCGCGGGACTCCCTCACGATGTATACGCGATAATGCGCTCCGGCGTGCGACGTCCTCGCAACTTGCTCATGCGCCTCGCCCCTCGATGGACTTCCTCACGATCTGCTTGGGAATCGCGCTGTCGCTCTCACAATGCTGAACCTCAACGGCGATGTTCGTTCTCGCTCTGTTTCCGTTATCCCTCGTTTTGTCTTCAGTCCGCCTTCGACACGAAACGAAGTCGAAACGAGAACGGCCCACGAAAGGGCCAGAACACCGCTTAGGTCCAAACCCTGCGCTCTCCATGCCCGGGCGATTCGCGCAGGACTCGCTCTGACCCCCCCTGACCTTCCAGAGAGCGCACTGGAGGCCTAAAAACATAAAAAAACTGAACGAAACAGCCTAAAACCAAGATGTAGAATAGCTCTGGGATAGGTTTTTAGGTCGGGTGCTATTTTTTAGCCCTCCTGGAAGGTCAGGGTCCATGTCCGGGCGACTCGCGCAGGACTCGCCCTGACCTCTCCTCGCGAGGCGCGGCTCGGAGCTCGGCCCCCCGCCCGCTCGGCCCCGCCGCGGCCGCGCACGCCCGCCGTGGCCCGGCCCGGCCGTGGCCCGCCGCGAGGCCCGCCCGCCCGACCCGCCCGTCTGGCGCTGCCAGCTGTGCGCTCCGCTCCCGCAGCCCCATCCCTGCTAAGCTTACGCGTGCTCTTAGAGGGCCCTGGAAACGACAGGGACACTGAATGTAGGGCGACGCAATCTATACATATCCACTGCTCCCTGGCCAGGCCCATCCTGAACACAGCAGCTGTGTACACGCCACGCCCTCCTGGTTTGGCCAGGAGGGCGTATACACAGCTCCTGGGTTCAGGAAGGGCCTGGCCAGGGAGCAGTGGATATGTATAGACTTCGTCCCCCGATGAATGACCGCTCGGCCCCGTCACTCTGATGTGTATACCGATGTTTTCTTCTGTGCGTGATCCTGCAGGGTCGACCATCGACCTGCAGATCAGACCCGGTTGTGCCCGCGTTTCGCCCCTCTTAGTGGGCCCTGGAAACGACAGGGCCGTTTTTGTTACCGGTTCCGTTTTGCCGTTTTTTTGCCGGTTCCGACGCCGTTTTTTTACCGGTTCCGTCGCCGTTTTTTATCCGGTTCCGGCTCCGGTTCCAATCCTGGAGCCGTTTTGTTTGCCGTTTCCGGTCGCCGTTTTTTTGCCGTTTTCATTTTCAAGGGACATCTTTTTGGAAACGGTGAAAAACCGGCCCTGCCGTTTCCGGGGCCCACAAAGCGCGTGCTCCATATAGGAGGCAGCTACTGGGAGGTGTTCGCCGGAAAGATTAGGGAGGATCGAGCCCCATTTGGGAGCTGTTGCGCCCGAGAGGGCCTCGGACTAAGCGGGATTCAGCCGGATTGAGCGGGATCAAGCGGGATTAAGCGGGATAAAACCGAATTGCGCGGGAGTAAGCTGGAGCAAGACGGGTTTCGGACCAGGACAAAATCAGAATTTGACCTCCAAGGAGTTGCATTCGAAGCTCCATGCTTCTCCCTCCCCCCTGTCCCTGCAGGAGAACCCAGGATCGAATCGACGAGTCGGATCGGCGATCGACACGAATCGGATCGGCGGCAATCGGCAGCCGAGTCGGGAAAAGTCGGATCGGCGGACATCGGCATGCCTCCAATCACTGTTTCAGGGACTGCGCCAACGACACGTGGCAAGGAAGAAAGATAGACCCCGACAGGGGGTGCGATCGAAGACGAGGAGAGCGGGTATCGAGAATGGTGGATACACGTGTGGCATGGCCCTCGACCAGATGCAAACGAACATTCTCAAACTGATTGTTGTTGTTGCTGTTGGTGTGGTGGTTGTTGTTGTTGCTGCTGTTGTCGTTGTTGAAGAAGTAGAATAATCATTTCTAGAGAATTCTTTTTGTTGACCTACGGAAGCAATTCCGCGGGTTCTCGCCTCGACGCCGGCTACATGTTCTGTGAAAGCGAGGCTCCCGCTCGAGCGTTGGCTTGAGCCTAAATGTGGGCCCTTGGAGGCCCAGCTACGACGAGAACGGCTCCCGCTCGATACGTTCTCACAGTTTACCCCGAGACACCCTGGCCAGAGAGGCCCCCAATCTCAGGAACGACGCTCTCGCTCGAGACTTCCTTGCAAGCCAATCAATTTGGCGAAGGCCCAGCCACGACGACAAGGGCTCCTGCTCGAACCTTGCTTACGATTTACTGCGAAGCCCCTGGCCAAGAAGGCCCCCGAACTCAGGAACGGCGCTCTCGCTGAGGACTTTCTCGTAATTCAGGCAAGTTGGTGGAGGCCCAGACACGGCGACAAAGGTTCCCATTCGATATTTCTCCATAGGTATTCCGAGAGCCCCTGGCCATAGAGGCCCTCGAACTCAGGAACGACGCTCTGGATCGAGACTTCCCCGCACTTCAGCCAGTGGCCGACGAGGAAGAGATTCCCCCCGAAAAGGGGTGCAATCGAAGACGAAGTGGACGGGTATCGAGGGTTGGGGTATACGGAATGCAAGACACGCGTGCCAGTAAGAGCGAACAACCTTTAAATGATTGCTGTTGATGTTGTTGATGTTGTTGTTGTCGATGTTGAGGTTGTTGTACTTGTTGTTGTTGTTGTCGTCGCCCTCGACCGCCCCCCCCCCCGCGACCCACCCGCAACCCACCCCGACCCACCCCGCATCTCCGGGGTTCTAGATGCGCAACCAAAACAAAACCAAGGCCTGCGCGAGCTCCCGCCGGAAAAAATCGGCGCCCATCGGCCTCAAATATGTTTTGTTTTGCCATGACAGCTCAATAATTGTGTCGCCAACAGTGTCCAAGACTCTAGAGCTGAAGTGATGGAAGAAACACAGACTGCACACTGCAAACGCAATCACACGCTTAGTTGTGCTGAAAAGCGCTGGGGGCGGCCGACCAAAACAAAATCACAACGGCAACCCAAAACATAAACAAAACGACACCTGCCGCGACGAACACGGGCGCAAAACAGCAGCTGAAAGCAGTTAGAAAACGGATCGCGGAACGCACCGAACACGGCGAGACGGCAATCCCACACCGGAGAGAACACTGCTCCCAAAGCACAAAAATAAACGTCGATCCTGAAAACTGAATAAAAAAAACCCAGCGTTTTGAAGAACATCTAAGATCAAACGATCATGCTTACGGTATGCATGTCTCGGGAGCGGCCACGAGGGGGGTGTCCAAGAGGGGGGGGTGCAAATCATGACCGACGGCACGTGCGCGGCCATGCGGGGGGGGACATGGACGTAATGAAATCAGAAGAGGCGACCATGAAATCTGGGGAAATATCATGGCCTACTCCATGATATCCACCCCCCCTACCGTCATCGGCCTGACCTGAGGAACGATGAATAAGGAACGAAGCCCATTTTTTTTATCCCAAGGAATAACGCATAAGGAACGATAAGTAACAAATAACGCATAAGGAACTGTAAATAACGCATGCAAGCCTGAGGAACGACCGAGCCCCTTTTGAAAAGTAACTGTTCCTTACTCAAGCCGCTCACTCTAGTCTTGGCGGCGCGCAAAAGGGGGTGGGGGGAGGGGGAGGGTTTCTTAGAAGCAGGCTGCTTCTTAGAAGGCGCCGGCCTTACA